TTACTGACCCGGTTCGAGTCCAGTACAGTATTTCAGTTAATTTTTCAGTCCAGTTAGTCCAGTACACCGGTATCAGTTCAGTCCGGTTTTTCTTGTCAGTCAAGTTAAGTCTCGAGAATATTCCAGTTAAATATTTAGATCGGGTCGAGCATCTTAACAGTTATTTTCAGTCAATCTGAGCATAGTACTTAGTATTTAGTTATTTATAAAATTTTTCAGAGTAATCAGCAGCAGCACTTACATTATCAGTACAGGTGGGGACTCAGACTGAGTATTACATTACGTATAATTACAGCTATCACGTGAGGTATGTATATATCAGTTCCGCTTAGAGTGGTGGCCAGTTTGCGTAATTCCACTCCGAGCTCTAGTGGCTAGATCTGACCACTAGGGTGTGCACATGGTTCCGACTAGTATTATTACAGTCGGCAGACACAATTTACGTCCAGTTTTTACTGTTGACGAGCAGTTACAGATAGAGGCAGATATACATGTGTTTGATCATGATGATGCAATTATTATTAATCTTTACTTTAGTATGAGTTTCTGCGGAGTATAGTGTTTATAGTACTCACGCTCCCACTATTATGATTCTTTTTCAGGAGACAGGGTCGGTCCGGAGGAGTGAGTGGAGCGGGTGGTCGCTGGTCCAGTACATGTAAATATGTTTATATTTTTGCAGACTGTTGATATGTATATATTTGCCACGTTTTACTTCCGCTGACATTTTCAGACTTTCAAACTAGCGTGTAAATTTTCAGATGACGATCCGAGTTCTCGGGTCTAGTTTTATACAGTATCACGCGCTTGTTTTATAATGATAATCCGTTTTTCATAAATGAGTTTATAGTTAACTGATTTTTAGAAAAGAAATATTTTATGTAGCATCCCGAGATATGTTTCGCAAAATAAAACGTAAACTTTAGAAAAGGATTTGCGAAAATCGCACTCTGATTTTAGTAAGCTAGCGGGATGTTACAAATTGGTATCAGAGCACATTTTCGTGTATCTGAATACTTTTAAAGTCAGAAATTTTCATAAACGACCCGACCACGCTACGCTCACGCCTCGCCGACTAACAGGTAAGTGCTGAATTACAGTTTATATATATTTAAATGAATACTTAAGTCTATGCTCAATAGAGGGTACTAGATTATTGACTCTAGAATCCAGTAAGATGCTCGAACATTTTTAGAACATAGTCGATTGTGTCAGTTATTTGATAGTTCGACTTTAGTATTCTCGGGTTATTTACCGACTCGTCAAGAGATTTGTGTATTTAAGTAATCAGTCAGTTAATCCCTTATGTTATTTAATCATGGTAAATATTTTAATGTTCAGATGCCTCCACGTAGAAAGCCAGATCACCAGGAACTCCCACAGGCCATAGTGGTCGCTTTGTTCCGCGACTACCATCCAGAAAAGTTTTCCGGCCAAGGAGATCCTCGTGTAGTAGATGAATGGGTTCAGGGTCTCGAGATTAATTTCGAGGTCATGAACTGCCCTGATCATTATCGCATTTTATGTGCCCAGATTCAGCTGACCGGTGATGCCAGACTCTGGTGGCAAGCCTATTGGAGTATGCGTCCCGGTGAAAAATACGGTTGTACGTGGGACCAGTTCAAGGAGCTGATCCGAGAAAAGTATTATCCCTCGTATTACCGAGCAGACATGGAGCGCTAGTTCTTGGCACTCACCCAGGGTACTCGTACTGTCGACGAGTACGAACGAGAGTTCACCCGTCTCAGAGCTTTTGTACCAGATCTTGTAGGTACGGAAGCAAAGAGAGCCCACCGTTTCACCGACGGACTTCACCCAGTAGTCCGTCACAACATCGTAGGCCACGGCGTCCAGACCTACGCTCGCGCAGTTGCCATTGCCCAGGAAGTCGATGCCAGTATCCGACGTGAAGCCGTCCAGACACCAGCTCAGTCAGTTACTCAATCACCAGCCCAGCCCAAAGTTGCCCAACCGTCAAAGAACCAGAAGAAGAGGAAGTACAGAAACACTCTTGATGACCGGAGGACCCGTCCCAGACAATATCCAGAATGCCCAACCTGCGGGAAACACCATCGTGGAGAATGCCTTGTGGGCCAGAACGTTTGTTTCTTTTGCCGCCAGCCAGGTCACTTCAGCAACAACTATCCAGAACGACTGTAACAACAACCGCAACAACGTCAACCGCCACAGCAACCTCAACAACAGCAACTTCAACAACAGCAGCCCAGGCAGCAACCACCACGACCACAGCAACAGCAACGCGGCAGACAGCAGACCCGCGTCTTTGCAGTTGACCAGAGGGAGGCCGATCAGCACCCAGGTACCATGTCCGGGATGATTATTCTTAATGATGTGCCTGTCTATGCCTTATTTGATACCGGAGCAACCCATTCTTTTATATCACGACGATGTCTCGAAGCTATTGGAGTTCGTTCCACTACCGCTGTCGATCTTCTCGAGGTGAGTCTAGCCTCGGGAAGAAAGATAGTGACTGACGCTAGAGCCACCGATCTTAGCCTTTCCATCGGCGGCCGTATTCTGATTACTGATACTTATGTTATCGAGATGAGAGATTTTGACCTCATACTCGGTATGGATTGGCTAACTCGATTTCACGCAGATATTCGATGTTATGACCGGGAGATTATTCTTTATCTTCCGGGAGATGATCAGATCACTTATTACGGCTCCAGGACTCGTACTCTGCCACATATTATTTCTATGGCGAAAGCCAGAAAGATTCTTCGACGGGGTGATTGCCAGGGTTATCTTGTGAGCCTCGTTGGAGATGAGTCAAAGGCACGTTCACCTCATGATATTCCTATCGTTCGTGAGTTCATGGACGTGTTTCCAGACCAGCTTCCCGGAGGTCCGCCTTGCCGACAGGTGGAATTTTCTATTGATCTTATCCCTGGAGCCGGACCCGTTTCAAAGGCACTATACAGAATGGCGCCTAAAGAAATGCATGAATTAAAGACCCAAATCCAAGAGTTGCTGAATCTTGGTTTTATACGACCGAGCGTTTCTCCTTGGGGAGCACCAGTCCTTTTTGTCAAGAAGAAGGACGGATCCATGCGTATGTGTATCGACTACCGGGATCTTAACCGGTTGACGATCAAGAATAAATATCCGCTTCCAAGGATCGATGATTTATTTGATCAGTTGAGGGGTGCCTGCATGATTTCTAAGATCGATTTGCGTTCAGGCTACCATCAACTGAAAATCAAGGAGTCAGACATACCCAAGATAGCTTTTCGTACGAGATACGGTCATTTCGAGTTCGTGGTTATGCTGTTTGGCCTCAGTAATGCCCCGGCAGTATTCATGGACTTGATGAACCGTGTGTTTCATCCTTTTCTCGACCAGTTCGTTATTGTTTTTATCGATGATATTCTTATTTATTCCAAGAGCCAGGAGGAGCACGAGGAGCACCTGAGGGCCGTTCTTTTGACCCTTAGACGAGAGAAGTTATATGCAAAGTTCTCCAAGTGCGAATTTTGTCTTCAACGAGTTGCTTTTCTTGGCCACATTATTACTTCAGCAGGTATTGAAGTTGATCCTTCCAAAATTGCTGCAGTCCAGAATTGATCAGCACCAAAGAATATGTCCGAGGTTCGTAGTTTTCTCGGCCTTGCAGGTTATTATCGTAGATTTATCGAAGGGTTCTCGAAGATTGTACTCCCTTTGTCTCAGCTGACGAGGAAGTCTGTAAAGTTCGAGTGGATAGACCGTTGTGAGTCGAGTTTTCAGGAGCTGAAAATGAGGCTTACGACAGCACCGGTGTTGACTATACCCGATCCTTCTCGGAGTTTCACCATCTATAGTGATGCTTCGAGGCAGGGTTTGGGATGTGTACTTATGCAAGATGGCCAGGTCGTTGCTTATGCGTCACGCCAGCTTAAAACACATGAACAGAACTATCCGACGCACGACTTGGAATTAGCTGCAGTTGTTCATGCCCTCAAGATTTGGCGACACTATCTATACGGCGGTCAATGCGAAATCTTCACTGATCATAAGAGCTTGCAATATATCTTTACCCAGAAGGAGCTCAACATGAGACAGCGCCGTTGGTTAGAGCTCGTCAAGGATTACGATTGTACGATCCAGTATCATCCGGGAAAGGCGAATGTTGTTGCTGATGCCCTAAGCCGCAAGGTGAAGGGTGACTTGACATACGTTGTTACTCAGCAGAGTCAGTTGATTCATGAGTTCGCCCGGATGCAGATCCAGCTGGTTGATGCACTTCCTATAGCCAGTTTGGGGAGTGTGAGTTCCATGCAGGTTCAGCCGACGTTGAGGGAGAGAATCCGGCAAGAGCAGGCTTCAGATGAGTTTATTCGTGCGATTGATGCCAAGGTTCGTGCCGGAGGCGTCGAGGGCTTTTACCGAGGCACTGATGGGGCCTTGGAGTTTCGTGGCAGGATTGTGGTGCCTAAAGTCGAAGCATTGAGAAAGGACATTCTATCTGAGGCTCATACTACACCCTATCTAGCCCATCCAGGAAGTACAAAGATGTACCATGACCTGAAAGGGTTGTTTTGGTGGATAGGATTGAAGAAAGATGTTGCCGACTTTGTAAGGAGATGTTTGACCTGTCAGCAAGTCAAAGCCGAGCATAAGAGTCCGATAGGCCTTCTACGACCACTGCCGATTCCGAGGTGGAAGTGGGAGGAGGTTGCAATGGATTTTGTCACGGGGTTACCAAGGTCATCCGAACATCACGACACTATCTGGGTCGTGGTCGACAGATTGACTAAGGTTGACCACTTTTTGCCAGTATCGATGAGTATGTCTTTGGATCGGTTGGCTGAGATTTATGTCCGTGGGATCGTTTGACTCCATGGAGTACCTCTTACTGTTGTGTCAGACAGAGACCCCAGATTTACCAGCAGATTCTGGAAGAGTTTACACGAGGCAATGGGTACGAAGTTAGCCTTCAGTTCAGCCTACCATCCCGAGACTGACGGACAGACGGAGCGGACTATACAGACGTTGGAGGATATGTTACGTGCTTTGACTGTTGACAGAGGTGCTAAATGGGAGTCTTTATTGCCGTACGTCGAGTTTGCGTACAACAACAGTTATCACTCTTCTATTCAGATGGCTCCTTATGAGGCACTATATGGTCGTAAATGTCGTTCCCCTCTTTATTGGGACGACATCGGAGAACATCGAGTACTCGGTCCGAAGCTGATCGAGGAGACAGCAGAGCAAGTCGAGTTGATCCGGCAGAGACTCAGAACAGCTCAGAGCAGAATAAAATCAACCGCCGATCATCATCGACGAGACATTCAGTTCGAGGTTTGCGAGCACGCTTTTCTCAGAGTTAGTCCATTTCACGGAGTTATTCGATTCGGGAAGAGAGGGAAGTTACACCCTCGGTTCATTGGCCCGTTCGAAGTACTCGAGCGAGTGGGCGATGTTGCATCGTTTAGCCTTACCTCCCGAGCTATCCAGTGTTCACAATGTATTTCATGTATCTATGTTACGCAAGTACGTGTGCGACCCCGATCATGTCATTCCTCATACTGATATTGAGATTCATCCAGACTTATCTTACGAGGAGTGACCGGTAGCTGTGTTGGACCGACAGGTTCGACGGCTCCGGAAGCGTAATGTTCCCCTCGTTCGTTTTCAATGGGATCGCCACGGAGCTACTTGGGAGCAGGAGGCTGACATTCGCGCTCGTTTTCCCGACTTTTAGTTCTGATATGTATATTTTCATGTATATATGTTTTGTTTTATATTTTCGAGGACGGAAATATTTTAAGGAGGGTAGATTGTAATAACCCAACCCTTTGTTAATAAAAAATGATGTATTATCCTTTATCGATTCCGTTCATTTTCAGTGAATACGTTCGATGTTAAGTCGAAAAGTTATTCGGTTAGTTATTAACCGAGTCAAATTCGATAATTAATTTTCGGACCATTTATTTTATAAACGGACATTATTAATCGGGATTAATTATTAAAAGTTACCAATGTTCGGGACTAAGTTTGAGGTAGAAGTCAAGTAAAGTCTTGGACACATACTTGGTGCACTATGTGTGTGCGCATGCACGCGGCGGTACGCATAGCCGCGCACGCGTACGCACGCAACGTGCATCCTCGCGCACAACACGTAGCACGCGCACCATTGAGTCACTAAGCACGCACTTAGGCGATGCTTAGCAAATTGATCAAGCCAAATCCCCTCTCTAAGAATTACCGTGTAGGGAATTATAAGGATAAATGTTGAGGTGCAAGTTGTAGGTATGAGTCACCTACCTACTTGTGCACTTGGCGACGCACGGGGCCGTGAGTGGTGACTAGGCCCGTGCATGCCCGCCACATCGGCCGGTGACTAAGCCAAACTTACCAACACATCAGCCACGTTATGGACACTTGTTATCAAGGGAGGAATTCATCATCCAACGCCTCTTTGACCCAAAGGACCCAACGAATTACTCCCCCTTTTTAAATGTCGTGCGTGTAACTTTTCCCATGCATTTTCATGCACGAAATAGAGACCAACTTCAGCAAAGAATAGAGAGAAAAATAGTAAGGAAAATATTGTAGAAAAATAGTGCAAAAATAGTTGAGCATTGCCGAAGCAAAGGAGAAGCAAGTACCCACACGTTCAAGCACCGAAACCGCACGCAAGCCGTCGTGCAATCCTCGACCGAACTGAAGGGTATACCCCTATTTATCTTCTTTTTATGTAGTTAAGTTCATAGTAACGAGATCATGTCGATGTCATGTCGTTCGGTCCATGTTCTTTAGCAAAATGACCTCGGAGATGCCATATAAGCTCCCTCCGAGTAACTTCAGTTTTTAACCGGCAAGTCCCGAATGCTTATTGCATAATTATGTTATTTAAGTCAAAACATGATCAGTCATATGTGGACTGCTGGAGAAAGTAGCCGGACGGCCGGCGAAATGCTGACCGTGATGCCTACCGCATGCAGAGTGCGCGCAGGCACGCCCGGCAAGCCAGCGAGTACACAGGCAGTGCCCCCGCGCCCAGTAACGCGCACGCGTGCCTAGCACTCGGCAGCCAAGCATCGCGATGCCGCAGTCGTGTGCGTAGACGTGCACAGTGCACGCACACACGCATGGCAACGCGTTACCGCGACCGTCTACCCAGCCCGCGTACACAGCGACGCGTCGCACG